GAGACACACAGAAAGGTCTTCCATCCACGGCTCACTCCCCAAGTGGCTTCAATGGCAGGGGCTGGGCCAGGCCACAGCCAGGGGCTTCCGGCCGTCTCCCAGGTGCAAGACAGTGGCTGGACCGTCCTCTGCTGATTTGCCCAGCGCCTTGGCAGGGAGCTGGGGTGGAAATGGAGCTGCTGGATGGGGACACGAACCAGCACCCATATGGGATCCCAGTGCATGCAAGTGAAGGACTTTAACCACTAGGCTACTGCACTGGGCCTGGTTTTTATTAGGGATTTATTTACTTGAAGGGTACAGTGACAGAAAGACATGTATGCACACACACACACACACACACACGCACCCACAATCTTCCATCTTCCAGTTTACACTGAGTGCCCCCAACAGCCATGGCTGCAGCAGAATGAAGACCCAGCACGCGGGTCTCCCCACGGATACAGGGGCCCAAACCCCCAGACTGTCTTCTGCTGCTTTCCCAACCGCATTAGTAGGGAGCTGGGTTGGAGGCGGAGTAGCCAGCATTCAGACACGCACTGGGACGTGGGCGTGGCACTGTAAGCAGATGTTTAATCCACTGTGCCATGCCGGAGGGAGGGCAAGAAAAAGAGTGAGTGAGAGGGCTCTTCCAAGTCAGCATGGCGTGGGCTGGGTCAGGCTGACACCAAGTCTCCCACACGGATGTCAGGGACCCGTGCCCCTGAGCCACCACCTGCTCCCGTCCCGGAGGCATCAGCAGGGAGCTGCTTGGAAGTGCAGCAGCCGGCACTCCCACCTGCGCTGTGGCTCACCCGCTGTGCTACAGGCCAATGACTGGAGGAGAGAGGGGTTCCTCCCAAGGGAATGAAGAGGACAGGCCTTTCTAAGACATGGAAATCTTGCCTCGGCTGGCGCATGGAGGAGAGGCGCTCCGGGCTGGCCTCGTGGGACTGACACCACAGCGGTGCTGGCCCTGAGCGGCTCGGGCCGTGTTAAGTACACAGAGTGAGCAGAGATGATGCCAGTGGCGACTTGGCATGGTACCCATCACATGCTAGCTGTTCATGAACTCTTTGGGAGCTATTAATATCATCAATACAAGCATGGTCATGTCCCAGGGGTACGCTGCTGTCAGGGGTGGCCCCGCCACTGGTTCTGGTCAGTAAGCCGTAGGTAGAAGTGTTGTGTATTGGGCCCAGTGCAATAGCTGAGTGGCTAAATCCTGTCCTTGCATGCACCAGATCCCACCGGGTGACGGTTTGAGTCCTGAGTTCTCCACTTCCCATCCAGCTCCCTGCTTGTGGCTGGGAAAGCAGTCGAGGACGGCCCAAAGCCTTGGGAATCTGCATCCGTGTGGGAGACTCAAGAGGAAGCTCCTGGCTCCTAGTTTCAGATCAGCTCAGCTCTGGCTGTTGCAGCCCCTTGGGGGGCGAACCAGTGACTGAGGATCTTTGTCTCTGTTTCTTTCTTGTAACTCTTATAGATCTGACTTTAATAAGTCAATAAAACATGTGTGTGTTTAAAAAGAAGTGTTGTGTATCGCTTCTGGGCAGAGCGTAGCAGCAACCTCCCCAGCAGGGGCTGGCACACCGACGCAGTGGAGAAACCACCATTGGCGCCGTCTTGCAATGCAATGCAGTTGGAATCCTGGCTGCTCCTTTCCCACTCCAGTTGCTTGCTAATGTGCCCGGGCAGCGGCAGAGGACGGCCTGCGTGGCTTGGCCCCGTCACTATGTGGGACCTTGCTGGAGCTCCAGGCTGCCAGCTTTGACCTGACACAGACCCCGCTGTGCGCCCCTGGGGAGCAAGCCCACAGACGGAGGAGCTCGCTGCCACACTGCCTTTCAAACACAGAAAAGATTTTAAAAATTGGAAGTGGCTTTTGTGTGTGTGAAAAGGGAGAGAGCAGGGGTCTTATCTACCAGTCTTTCCCGATGCCTGTGGCAGCCGGGGCTGGGGTCCCGAGCCAGGACGCAGGTGCACCCCCCGGGAGTGGCAGAGCCGGACCGCTTCCTGGGGTCGGCGCCGGGTCCTGGATATGAAGCATTTGCCTCTGTCGCTGGGTAAACGCCCACTCCCAGGGCCAGAGCATTTGCTTGGTCATGCCAGAGCCTCCAGAACACACCGCTGGTGTTAAAACGGTGTGCGCTCAGGGGAAGCGGTGCCGTTTTCGGCCGCGAGTGGCTTTGTTCGCAGCCTCCGGGACTGCTGCATTACGAGCTCAGCTGCCCCAGCCGATGCCCGGCTGCTGTGGCCTCTGGATGGTATCCCTCAAAGCATATTAGAAACTTTTTTTTTTTTTTTTTAGTTTATTTAGGGGCCAGTGCCATAGTGCAGCAACTTAAGGCTCCATTTGCAGTGCTGGCATCACCAGTGAGCACTGGTTTGAGTCCCAGCTACTCCATTTCCCACTCAGCTCCCTGCTAAGGCACCTGGGAAAGCAGCAGAGGACGGCCCAAGTCTTTGGCCTTCTGCACCCATGTGGGAGACCTGATAGATGCTCCTGGCTCCTGGCTTTGGATCGGTTCAGCTCCGGCCGTTGCGCTCACTTGGGGAGTGAATCACTGGATGGAAGAATTTCCTCTCTGTCTCTCCTCCTCTCTATATATATGACTTTGCAATAAAAATAAATAAATCTTTTGGAAAAAAAAATTTTAAATGTACTTATTTGAAAGACAGAGCAACACATAGAGAGACCACATGTCTGTTACTTCTCTGTCCAAATGTCCATGGCCTGGGCCGCCCCTGCCCCTGCCCGCAGCGCTCACCCCCGGGCCGCCCCTGCCCCTCATGCCCACTCGGGCCCCATTGTCTGTCCACAGCAGTTCTCCTTTTTGTTAGTGCAGACAGTCCGAGGTGTGTCCTTGCTGCTCCCCAAGGCGCTCTCAGAAGGGCGCCCTGCACTGAAAGCAGGGATGGAGCAGCTGGAGAAGGCCGGTGCATGGCAGTGCAGCCTCCTGAGAACTTTTGCGGGCCCTCGGAGGCCTCAGACCCCCTGCCGGCCCTAGCGGGCAGGGTCCCTGTTCAAATGCCTGCTGGAGTCCCTGCTGCTCTGTGCTGCCCCTGCCGCCCACTTGGGAGACCCGGGTGGAATTCCTGGGTCCGGGGGCAGCCTGGCCCAGCCCTGGGCTCTTGTGAGCTGGTGTATGGGAGTTCTCTTTCTCCCCTGTCTTTCCGATAGATACATTCCAGCAACGTGAGAGTCATGGGGGGCTTTCAAAAACATGCAAGTGCTGACCACACGCTTCCTCCACGGGACTGGAGCCCCCTTGGTGGGCAGCACGCTCGGATGCTCCTAGTGACCGGATCCTGCAGCTGGCACAGCAGAGTGCTGAGATGACAAACAGGATACAGGATTATTCTTGAGTCAGGCGTAAGTTCACCCCAGTACGGAGCTGTCCCATTGTCCCGCTGTGATGAACTTTGGGAACCACTGGGAGACAAAGATATGTACCCGATAATAGCAGGAAGTTGAGAGCGCCTACGTGTGTGGGGCGCACGGCGCCAGGGAAAGTGCTGACAGCTGGAAGGAAGCCAGCAGCAGGCAGCACACAGGGCTAGGTCAAGGACCCAGTGGCCTCAAGGACCCTGTGGGCTCACGGCCCCTGGCAGAATTCTGTTTGCAGATTACTGACTTAATGAAAGGCTGGAAGACCTGTTAGGTCACACCTCCAATGGCTGAAGAGCCAGGAGGCTGGGCCGGCCAGGAGCCTGGAGCCCCATCTCATCTTCCTCACGCGTGGCAGGCATGGGTCACTCCGGCCATGAGCTGAACGTGCAGGCCGTGGACGTGACCGGGCGGCCCTCCCGGGACATGGCTTGGGTCACTCCGGCCATGAGCTGAACGTGCAGGCCGTGGACGTGACCGGGCGGCCCTCCCGGGACATGGCTTGCAACGGCTGCAGTGCTGGGCTACAACGCTGACCCCAGCCTTGGGGGAGCTGCGGTGAGGGGGGCAGTGGTCAGGATTTCCTGGCCGTGGACTGCACGGAGAGACGTGGACGTCCCGCTGGCTCACGTGCCATCAACTGCCCACCTCCGGCCTCGCGGGCACCTGTCCTGCCCTGTTCCCTGGGTCCGCCGAGTGCCAAGCCGTGAGTGAATGCAGGAGGCGGAGTCTGGGAAAGGGAGACTGACGGCACGCCGGGACCGAGCGGGCAGGGACGAACGTGTCACCGAGAGCCGGCGGCCACGAATGAATGGGCGGCCAGCATGGCGGCCCCTCCGCAGGGAGGGCGGGGCTCTGCGGGCCAGGGGCGGGGCCAGGCCGCTGGAGGGTGGGGCCAGGCCGCGGCAGGGCGGGGCTCGGCAGGACACCGGCGGGGGGCCAGACAGCGGGAGGGCGGGGCCAGGCCGCGGGAGGGCGGGGCCAGGCCGCGGGAGGGCGGGGCCAGACAGCGCGAGGGCGGGGCCAGGCAGCGGGAGGGCGGGGCGGGTGGGGCGGGGCCAGGCCGCGGGAGGGCGGGGCTCGGCAGGACACCGGCGCGGGGCCAGACAGCGGGAGGGCGGGGCCAGGCCGTGGGAGGGCGGGGCGGGTGGGGCGGGGCCAGGCCACGGGAGGGTGGGGCGAGCAGGGCAGGGGCGGGGTCAGACAGCGGGAGGGCGGGGCCAGGCAGCGGGAGGGCAGGGCGGGTGGGGCGGGGCCAGGCCACGGGGGGTGGGGCGAGCAGGGCAGGGGCGGGGCCAGACAGCGGGAGGGCGGAGCTCGGCAGGACACCGGCGGGGCCAGGCCACGGGAGGGTGGGGCGAGCAGGGCAGGGGCGGGGCCAGGCCTCGAGAGCAGTAGGAAGGGCTGGGCCGGACAGGGGCGGGGCCAAGCAGCGTGAGGGAGGGGCGAGCCAGGCAGGGCGGGGCCAGACCGCTTGAGCAGTAGAAAGGGCTGACTGGACAGGGGCGGGGCAAAAGCGGACGTGGGCGTGGTCCGACGGGCGCAGCGGGAGGGGCGTGGCCGGGGCGCGGCCGGGCGGGCGGCGCGGGAGGAAGTCACGTGGGCAGGCGGGCTCACATGACTGGCGGCGATGGACCGGCTGCTGGCGGCGCCAGTCGGGGCGGCAGCTGAGGCGGAGGCCGGCGAGGAGGCGGATCCCCCGGCGGCAGGTACGGCGCGGGCGGCCGGGGAGGACGGGTCCGCACCACCTGCCCGCCCGGCGGCGCCCGCGGGACCCACGGCCGGGCCCGTGTCCGCGGGAGGAGCGCTGACCGCGTGCAGGCGGCGGGAGGGCGGGCAGCTCGCACGGGTTAGCACGCCGTGTCCTGGTCACCTGTGCCAGGGGCTGAGGGGAGGGCTGGGTGCTGGTCAGGGGCCACGCCTGGGTGTCCTGGTCACCTGTGCCCCAGGCCGAGGGGAGGGCTGAGTGCTGGTCAGGGGTCACGCCTGGGTGTCTGGTCACCTGTGCCGGGGTCCGAGGGGAGGGCTGGGTGCTGGTCAGGGGCCACGCCTGGGTGTCCTGGTCATCTGTGCCGGGGGTCCGGGGGGCCGAGGGGAGGGCTGGGTGCTGGTCAGGGGCCACGCCTGGGTGTCCTGGTCACCTGTGCCGGGGGTCCGGGGGTCCGAGGGGAGGGCTGGGTGCTGGTCAGGGGCCACATGTAGTTGTCCTGGTCACGTGTGCCGGGAACCGAGGGGAGGGCTGGGTGCTGGTCAGGGGCCACTCCTGGGTGTCTGCTCACCTGTGTCGGAGGGCCAGGGGGCCGAGGGGAGGGCTGGGTGCTGGTCACCTGTGTCGGGGGGCCGGGGGGCCGAGGGGAGGGCTGGGTGCTGGTCAGGGGCCACTCCTGGGTGTCTGCTCACCTGTGTCAGAGGGCCAGGGGGCCGAGGGGAGGGCTGGGTGCTGGTTAGGGGTCACACCTGCGTGTCTGGTCACCTGTTCCAGGGACCACGCCTGGTGTGCTGGTCACCTGTGCCGGGGGCTGAGGGGAGGGCTGGGTGCTGGTCAGGGGACCACGCCTGGGTGTCCTGGTCACCTGTGCCCCAGGCCGAGGGGAGGGCTGGGTGCGCCCTGGGGACTGCGCGTGGGTTAACTTGCCGTGTCCTGGTCACCTGTGGCAGCCGGCTGGCCCTGGCCCGGGGTGGGCCCTGTGCCCTGTGGCCTGTTTGGGTGGCTTCCCCCAGGCAGGGAGAGGCGCTGCTCCTGGGAGCTGCCCTTTGATCTCACCTGGAATTCCTGCAGGAAACTGGCTCTCCTTGGGAGAACAGTGGGTTTTGCCTGGAGGATGTCCGCCCTGGGGGAGGGGACGCTGCAGGCTAGGGAGCCTGCTTGTAGTGAATGCATGCGCGGGGACCCTCCAGGAGGGCAGTATGCCCACACATGTCCCTGGAGGAGGCAGGTGCTGCATGGGCTGTATGGGGTGGGGGCTGGACCGTGGGCCAGATGTGTGAGCCACACCTGTGTCCTCCGCCACCTGCTAGGATGTGCGTGTGCCTTTGGGATGGGGGTGAGGGGATTGTTCTGGAGGTTCTGGGGGTTCTGGAGGTGCACACGGGGCGACCCCCCTCTTGGAAGCGTGTTGACCATGTGTCGCACAGACGTGTTCTGGAGGAGAAAGTGCGCAGCCCCTCCCCGCTCTGCCCAGGAGTGACCGCCCTGACAGTGTACCTGGGTCCTTTCAGTTCTGCCTTCATGTTTAGTGGGAGTGTGTGCCCAGGAAGTGCCTGGGCCCTGTCTGCACGGGATTGTGTTGGCCGTCACTGTGGGAGCTTGAGGGACGCCAGGGCTCTGTCGTCTCCTGGTCCTGGAGGGCTGGGGACAGCAGTGCCCTAAAAGTCAGGTGTCAGCAGGCCTGAGTTCCTCTCGCAGGCTCCGGGTGAGGCTCCGTTTCCTGATGCCCAGCTGCCAGGCACTTGCTGAGTTCACTGGCTGGCAGCAGGCTGGGCCAGCTGTGCTCTTCCATGCGCTGATTCACTCCCCAAGTGGCCGCAACAGCTGGAGCTGAGCCAGTCCGAAGTCAGGAACCAGGAACTTCTTTCCGGGTCTCCCATGCGGTGCAGGGTCCCTAGGCTTTGGGCCATCCTTGACTGCTTTCCCAGGGGCAGGGAGCTGGGTGGGCAGTGGAGCAGCCGGGACATGAACTGGCGCTATTACAGGATCCCAGAGTGTGTCAGGTGAGGGTTCAGCGATTGAGCCATCCTGCCAGGCCCAGTGTTCTCTGTTTAATCAAAAGGTGGAGTGACACAGTGAGGAACAGAACCCTCACCCTGTGGCTTGGTCTTCATGTGGCTGCAGCCGCCAGGCTGGGCCGGGCTGGGCCGGGCTGGGCCGGGCTGGGCCAGGGGCCTCCCTGCAGGTCCCCCCGTGAGGTAGGGCCGTCGTCTGCTGTAGGCCAGGCCGTCCCACCATGCTGGCCGCTGCGGCTTCACTTCTGTGTGCGCTGAGACAGCACGGGCCAGCCAGGATCCACCATCGTCTTCACTTGCTCTCCTGTTGATTTGTCACAGTTCTTTTTGGCATTTGGGATACTAACCATTTGTGAAATAAGCATACATTTGTTTTTTTATTTTAGAGGGAGAAGGAGGAAGATTAGGGAAGGGGGATTGAGAGAGACAGAGAAAAAAGGAAGCAAATTTTTACGCACCTTCCTATGGGGACCTTAGACACAGGGGGTGTGTCTGCAGCCGCGGGATTCAGGGAGCACACGGGTCCTGCGTCCTGCTCGGCTTCGGCCTTTCGCACTGGGCTGCGAGGAAGGATCCCTGAGCTGCACCGAGACCGGGCAGGACGCGCCTGTCACAGGGCTGGCCATCAGCCCACCCTGCCACCGAGGGGCAGGACAGCGCACGGACACCTGCAGGTGACGCCCCCGTGCCTGGGTCCCTGCCCACCACCCACCACCAGGGACACCTGCGTAGGGGTCTCTCTCCTCCTGGTTTCTGATGAGCTCAGCTCTGGCCCTTGTAGCCACTTGGAAGTGAACCAGCGGATGGAAGATTTTTCTCTGTCTCTCCTTCTCTCTGTATATCTGTCTTTCTAAACAAATCAATCATCAATCAATCAATCAATATTTTTTTTAAAGCTGATCTTTGTAGAGTTCAAGGCTGTATTTTAAAAACAAACCAAAATCCCTCTGCCCACGCCCATGTGCAGTGCCGGCTCTGCTCATTGCAGTGACCAAGCCGGCACCCCAGTCTGCTTGGCTTTAGCTGGCCCTGGAGTGGCTGCTGTGGGCATCTGGGGAGGGAACAGCAGGTGAGTCTCTTGCCTAAAAACTAAAAGGTCAATAAATAAACACCGTAGAGCGCCAGGTTTGGGTTGTTGGCCCTTAATGACACACTCCTCTTGCTCTGAATTTGCAAGGTAAAATGTGTCCATTTGAAGAAAGAGGAACTGACTGGGTGTCTGATGCACTGGCTGCGCTTGGGCAGCGTGTGTGGTTAGCGCGAGATGTGCCCTGGGTGGGGGAATTCTGGTTGCTGTCCTTGTTCCTTTCCTGAGAACAAGAGCCGGTTTGCCGTCCTGCTGACTGGGAGATGTGGCCGAGGCGGGGCCAGGGAGTGGCTGGAGAGTGTGTCTGGGGGGCGGTGTCGCACCGTGACCTGGGGGCCCGCAGGACAGCCCTGGGGGCAGGCTGGCGTGGTGGGCTTCCTGCCGCCGTGGGCGAGGCCTGATTTGTAGTTGGTGGCTTGCTGCTCCTCGTGGGCACCCGGAGAGGACCTGTGCTTGTCTGTTGACCCCCTAACCTATCAGCTAATCAGAGGTGGATGTCTCCCAGCCCCTCCCTGTCCGGTCCAAACTAGTCCCACCCTGAGGCAGGACCTGTTCCTGCTGATCTGGAATTCAGCCAACACCGCCAGCTGCGGATTGGCCGAGTGTCCTGGCAGTCCCTGCTGGAACCTGCCGACCCAGTGTCTTCACCCCCCAGAGGCCAGCTGGAGAACATTCCACAGCTTCAGCTGATGTCAGCTTAAATGCTCACAGATCCGTTGTATGGGGGCTTGTATGGCTTCTAAGTGGAAGGGGAGCAGGGACGATACCATAGCGATGAGTCTGGAGGACTGGGGGTCTGGCCTGGGATGGGTGCCATCTGAGGGGCTGCCGTCGGCAGTCACAGATCCTAACCTGAGTGGCGGCCACGTGTGTTTGGTCTCTGATTTTGTTCTGGTGTCCAAGCACAATGTTGAACCCTTGATGTGTACGTGCAGTGTGTTTGTTACTGACGAACAAGTGAGCGGAGCTTTCTGTTGGTTCGCTCCCCAAACGCCTGCAGTGGCTGGAGCTGGAGCTGGGAGCCAGCGTCCCACTCGCCTCCCTTGCGAGTGGGAGGGACTGTGACCTGCCTTGCAGGGCCTGCGCTGGGGAGGCGGGCTGGCCGTCCTACGGTGACCTGCAGACCTGGGCTTCTGAATGTTGGCGCTCCGTTTCCGGCCGCGTCCAGAGGGGAGATGTGTTTATTGTGACGTGTTGAGTGCCACTGGCGTCCACTCTCTGGAGGACGCTGCCGTTTAGCAGTGGAAGCTTCCTGCCGGCTTCAGCTGCTGCCTGGCGTCTGGCCGAGGCTCCGAGGCTCTGGCCCTGGGCCGCTGCCGGGGTGTCTGGAGCCCTGCTGTTAACGTCTCTTTGGCAAAGGGCGTGTCCAACACTCCCTGGGACTTAGCACTGCAAATTCTCTTTAGGATGGGAGACAAGTTCCAGGCCAGGAGGGGGTGGATCTGCCCCTGACGCCTGGGCCTGGGGAGCAGGGCTGGTGGGCGTCCAGCCCTGGTGTCAGGGCGAGCTGCCCTCCCCTGCGCGTGTCCCAACCAGCCTGCTCCCTCCGGGTCCTCCTGGGGGCAGCATGCTGTCAGCTCAGCCTGTGAGGTGTGGGAGGAAACCGAGGCACGGGGGTGCCGGTCACCTTCCCAGGAGCACCCATTTGGAAACGCCTTTGGTTTTATTTGTGACCCCTGGGCCCTGCCGCTCCTGGATGCACGCCTGTCCCCTTCGTGCTGTTTGGCGGCCAGGCGTGGGCTGGTGTTGCGGGGGGTGGGGGGGTGCCCTGGCCTGGCCGGCTCTCCAGGCACAGGACGCTTGCTGGTCCCCTCCTGTGCTGCAGGTGCTGGGCCTGCGTCCCCGAGCTGAGTTCTGGGAAGGCGTGCAAGTCCAGCCCCCTCTGCTTGGGAAGCTAGT